ATATATATATATATATAATTTTATTTTATTTTGCTTTTTTTCTTTTGTTGCCCTGGGGAAAGATTGAAAAAAAAGGAGAGATTTTTACTTCATTGAATTTTCTGGTTTTAACAGCTGCTGATGAAACGAGGAAGAAGCTTCATGGTGATTCTTCAACAGCTGAACTCAATAATTCCAACATGGTAATCAATGATAATTTCCAATTTTGCCCCATCTCTTTCATTCTGTTTTGCATGTGATGTGCAAAGTATCATTTTACCTTTGGATTTCAGAATCTTTTTTTTTTTTTATATTCTTTTTTCCTGTGCTCTGATTTGAAATGAACTGTTCCATTGGATGTGTGTGAGACATAGAGAATTTCATGTTTTCTTAGTGTGCATCTGGATGTGTTTGTTCAGGTTGCTTCTAAGGGTGCAAGTTCCCCATCTGATGCAAGATCGTGTGTTTCATCAATAGGAGATGCTTCTGGTAGTGTTAAGGAAGGTGATGTGGATCATGAGTACTTGTCCACAGATCAGAGTGTTCCTTATCCTGCTGGTGGCTATTATGGTTACTACTATCCAGGTTAGTGCTTCTGGTCAAAGACCTTCCCTAGAATGGTTCCCTATTCATTTCAATTGATTGCATATTTATGGTTTCATTTCTTACGGTAGAATCATCACAGGTTATGGTGGTTTCTTTGGAGAGTCAGACAACCAAGGGTACTATGTTGGTGCTGATGCCGTGGATCTTCAGTACCCTGTAAGTCTCTTGAGCTGAATTTTGGTTGGTTTTGTCATACTGTTGCTGTTATTGTTAAGTGTTTCAATTTGGACTGTGGTTGACTTGGTACAAATCTGGTCAATTCAGGCTATGCATATGTAAATACTTGAATTTGATCATGGAGTAAAATGTGTTTTTTGTACTCAAAATATCTTGAAATTTGGTTTTAGTCTCTATAAAAATTTAATACGATTTTATTCCTTGCATTTTTACAGGGAAAAACCTTTTTTTAAGTCCCTGGCAAGGGACTAAAACCACACCTCTTTTGGTTAATATAGTGACTATACATATTAAATTTTTTATGAAGACGAAAACCAATTTTTGTGATATTTGAGGGATCAAAAACATTTTTACCCTGATAACATGATAATTATGCCTTTAGATGATATAATTTTCATTTATCACCATTTCTACTTTCTCATGATTCAGGAGAAATAAGCATGGCTCTCCAAGAATCATATTGTTTTAAGAAAGGGTGGAATGGAAAATGAATATAATGTATCTACAAGCAACTTGATTTGGTTTTCTGGAGTAGCATTTGACCACCAGTTAAACTGTTTCTTTTTTATGTTAAAGAATCAAAATGATTAATATTTTAAAAACACAAATGCATGACATCTTTTCATAAATCACTTATTTTAACTCGGGGCATATGACTAGTAACTGGTTTCCTGAAACAGGTGGATATTACTATTCAGTCTCTTTCCATTCTTTGCTTTAGTTCAAGCAAGCAGATAATTAATCTTTCTACTATTCTTTGAGATATACTACAATTTTCAATACATTTGTTCTTTCTTTTGCTTCATTTAGGTCATGCAAGCAGATAATGGATCTTATGTCTATCTCGTGCCAGGACTTCAGACTGGCTACCCTTCATACTTTCCTCTAAGTACAGCCGGTGTCGATGGACAGTATGTTGGCCATAATGTCTACCCCCCTGGCTCCATCTTTCAACAACCGATTGGATCACCCGGTTATTTTCCAGCCTCTCTACAGTATGGAGAGTTTATGCCATCGACAACATATACATGGGACTCACCTCTAACGTCACAAGATGGGTTACAAGGACATAGCTATAATGAAATGGCTGGTAAACCAAATGATAGATCCAATTTGTCTTCCCAGAGTCATACAGGTGGTATTGTGTCAAAGTCTGCACCTCGACCAAACTCGGCTGAAGTGAAGGGTTCGACACCATTGTTAGAGGTCTCATCGACTCATGTTAAGCGTAACCAGCCAAAACAAACAAACAAGGTAACCTTACATTTTGGCATTCTACTTCCTTGGGGTTTATCTATAAGTATTACCCTTATATTAGATTGTTCTTACGAGTTTGTAATGTTTTTTCAGGCACCGGTTTCAGTCCTACATTCACCTGTTTCCAAGTTTCCCTCATACAATCAAGGAAAGAGTGGATTCATCTATCCAACTAGC